AGGGTGGTGATTTTCTAAGTTACTAGACGAGCCTCCCTACCCGTAGAAGTGGGGGTCGCAGATGTCGGGGTATCTTTCTTGTCATCAGAGTGTTGAGGTCTCACGGGGTTCACTGCCCCGCAGCACACAAACACCGTGGCGAGGTGCACAAGGAAAAGGGGGAACTCTCCGTCCTTCTCCTCTGCTCTTTTTTTTGGGTCCTCCTCCTTCTTTTCTTCCGAGTGATTTCATGGTCGCCCGGGGGCCAATCTGGCCTTGGGCCTTTGGCCTTGCAGGCCTCGGTTCCTCTTTGGATGCACAGATTCTGACCCATGGCGAAACGGAAACTTATGTGATTTGATGACTGTGACCCCTTTTTATAAGGCTTGAAAGTAAGTCGTCTGATGTCACCTGGATCACCATTCTGACGCTTTCACATTGTTATGTATTAGTGTGATGTTATCTGACACCTCATAAAGGTTTATTAATGTTAAAAAATAAACTTTATTTTATGTAGTGCATTTAATGCGCAAAATAAATAAAATAAAATAAAAGTGCCTCTAAACTCCCATTAAAACAGGAAAAGCCTCTTGTTCGTTGTTCCTAACCCTATGTTTCCTAACCTTTTCTGATGCATATAAAACGTTTAGCACCTCAAATTGAAAATATTTTAACTGAATTGATTTCATACCATCTTTTATGTTGAAATGCAGTATAAAGCCTTTATATGGGAAAATAATAATAATTCACATAATCTCTGTATAATTCTCATAATCTAAATACAGAAGAAGAACAAATATGATGTACTTATCTTAATTTTTCAGAAAAAAATGATGTGAAATGGTATCTCAGAAATGTGCAGTCAAAGAACAAAATCCATTAACAGCAAAACTAAGACCATCAAGCTGTCAGGTGAAATCGATCCTGTGCATATGATGAAAATAAAACATTTTGTTGTTACAAATTGTTAAAGATGATTAAAAATTATGTATTCAAAATATTATCGACAGAATAACTAATGTGATTATCTGAACAGAAATTGTAAAGTTCAGACAGCTGACAGAAGTGAAAAGTAAAACCGGTTGAGGTTGTAAGTAAAGTGCTAACGAGCCATTAGTACACTAACAAACATCTAAGTGAACGGCCTCCACATGTTTTTCTTCTGTAAGTGTATGTAGTACTGATGACAGCACTCAACGGGCCTGAACGGTTTTGATGTTGCTGTGTCAACTTCAAATTAATTCGCTACTATCAGGCCCAGCTCTACAAGCTCGCAATCGCCGTCAGTGTAAATGATGAGGACTGAGAGGGGACGGTTAGTTCCCGTGCTTTCATTGTCCCTCGTTTATTTAAAAACAAGCAAAGTGATAGTATTGCAGTTCTGCTATTAAGGTATAATAACCTATAACGTTTGTAACTGAAACAGAGATTGTGAGCATTATACTATTTTATTGTTATTCAGAAAATATACTTGCGGACCTGTGATTCGGCATGACTTAGACGGCACGGTTATTTTCCTCGGTCTCGTTGCCTCTCGTTTATAAACCAAGGCTAGCGCGAGAGTAAGTGCGGCAGCGCGCGCGGATCTGGTACCACGTGACTCGGCGGGGAAAGTGCGAGAAGCGCTGAGACGGTTAGGAGACGCTGGGTGGAGCAGAATAAGGAAGCGGCATGATAGTCAGCTGGTTGTGTCTCCTGTACGTATACCACGTACAGACGACACAGCATAGTACTAGGCAACATACCGTACTGGGATTCTGACAGGGCTGTGTTGAGCAAGAAAGGGATTAAATTAAAAAGCAAACTGACGCGAGAAACGGTAGAAACGGACAACGGGGAGGAGCAATGGAGGTGTGTCAAGCAGCGCCTTTACCCTAACTGAGCAAGAGGACAACGAAAAGAAAGGCGCACGTGTTCAGCGGCTTGCTACAAACCGGTCCTGGGGGGAACTGCAGGCCGTTTGTACTTGACAATTGATCGTGGGTTTGAAATTGAAAACCCAGACGTGTGACGTCGGAACACCAGCCGACTCGTTGATACGCGACCGGAACGGAAAGCTGTCCGCGGCGGCGCCGAGACTCTCCGGACAGCGAAGAGGAGCAGACGCGCCAGGGCCCGGCTGTTAGGAAGGACTGCAAACTTCCCGGGAAAATATGTAGGCTCAACCCAGAAAACGACTCCAGCAACATGTCAGGGGTCTTGTTCGTGGGAACAGCTGACGCTAAAGGAAAAGAGATTGTACTGCTATTTACACGGCCACTGGGACAGATATCACCTTCATATTGGACACGGAGACTCGAGACAATTTCAAAGCGGACACTGAACTGTCTGTTAACAGGTAAACCTATCGTAAATACCTATAGGTATAGGGTAAAGCCTTGAGCTTATATTGGTGAAGTAATTCTCACAGTGGGTGCTTGCATGTTAAGGCTAAACATTGAGGGACAAAAACACACCTTGTGCCATTTGCTATTGTAAAAGTTAACAACGCTCCCGTTATAGGTTTAAAAATATTTAGTACATGGGGTTTAGTAAAACCGGAATGGTGAACGATGTAACAGACACAAAAGACACACTGCTGAGGTTGTATGCGGTGATTTTTTTTACGGGCACGGTTGGGTTCAGGTTCTTGCCCGGAAAGGGCTTAGGAGCCGGTAATGGATGGGCCATGGTACCGCTTGGGCTTGGGTGCGGGCCGCTGCAATAGTGCAGAGAAATGACGGTTCGGTGAGGATGCGCGTAGATCTCATGGACCTAAGTGGTGAATACATCTGTAAAAAGGGCGCTGAAACGAGCGGTGCATAAATATACCTGCTGTTGTCTCAACCTTACAGTTCCCGTTCAGATAATCATACTGGTTATTCTGTAAAATATTTAAATGCCTAATTGATAAAATAATATTCACAGATTTGAACATTTTATCGAATGTTTTATTTTGATTTTGACTGCACAATATTTTTTAAATACCGCAATAAACCATTATTGTTGAGTAAGAAGTATTGAATAGTTTGTCATATTTGTTAATGTGTACAAGATATGCACGGTATGACATTTTTCAGGTAAATTCAGCGTGTTGCTACACATACTAAGCAAAATATGATGCCAATCTACTGTATATAGATACTTCAGAAACATACCTAAACTCAACTAGTCTGTCCAGTGAACACTTGGAGCAAACTGGAGACTTTCATAGAGACTTGAGTGTTGCTTTTAAGTGGTTTTGGACCTATTACTGCTTGTATAGCAATGGCTGAGTATATAAATAGTTGACTTAGGGTTTGAAACAACATTAAGATTCAAGGCAGGAAGCAGTATTCTTATCTGTGTGATCACTTTCTTGTGGTTGTATCCACTGTATACTTTTATGTTGATTCTTATTGTAAATCTGCACAAGTGGACTTCTGCTAAGCAAACAACCATTAAGGTACTTCATTAAACACAGTAACAGAATCACTGATGAAAGTATGATGTTGATTCAAGTATTTTGATCAAAAAGTTTCATTTTCCTTTAAAAAAGTTTCTGAAAGTGATTGGAATGAACATAACATAATTAAGGGATGTTATTTCTCCAGATACCCCTTTTTGGATCGTACTGGCCACACCGATGCCTTTCCACCCTGTTGCGTCTCAGATAGAAGAGCAGGACTTCAGCACTCCTGTGGAAGCCCATGCCTCAGCGCAGTGCAGGTGTCTGAGTGAATGAGGAGCATGAGTGTGGAAACTGTGGTGGAAGTAGAACACTTGGAAGTGCTTTGTATCTTTTAATGCATTTTTAAATGCACATCCAAAAGTTGTAACACTTTTATGTAAAACTTTTCTGGACACTCCACAAAAAGCACTGTACAGGCAATGGGGACTCCCCTCCACCATCACCAATGTGCAGCCTCACCTGCATGAGGCGACAGCAGCCACAGTGCTCCAGTACACTCTCCACACCCCAGCCATCAGTGGGGAGTAGAACAGAGTGATGAAGCGAACTGATAGATGGGGATTATTGGGAGGCCGTGATTGGTAAAGGCCAGGGGGAAATTTGGGCAGGACACCAGGGTATTTAAGTATGAATTCCTTGTCACACTACAATATCGAGCCATGACTGACTGCAGTCTAGCATATGGAACACATGGAAATATTTCTCACAGTGAAATAAAAGACATGAGTACAAAGCTCTTGGGATGCTATAGCTTTTATTTAAGCTATGTAAAGAGTTCTGTTCAGACCTCAGTCTCCTTGCAGTATTCCCATGGAGTATATGAGGCCTCTTGAGAACTGTCAGTGCTGCTCAGAGACTGGGATTCACCTGACCTGTCTTGTTTCTCCTGGGAGACGCCAGGCTCCTCCTGAAAGCAACTCCACAGCACCTTGTTGCTGTCTCCATCGTCGTCCAGCCAGGATATACTGTAAGTGACGACATGGGCACTCCAGGGAGCTGCAAATCAATAAGACTGGAGCCAACCTGGAGAAGAGACAGGATGATGTGACTTAAATGTATAATCTGCAAAGTGACAAGGAAGATGATAGTGGATTATGTTTGACCGGGGAATGTCACTGGACAACCTGCTTTTATCCAGATCATTTTCTCTTCATAACCTTAAAATTAGCAATTTCTCTTTTCACCGTGTCCACTGTGAATACAGAACTGACATTGAAGAGCAGAGAAGCCACTCAGGGGACGGGTCAGGATCCTTGTTGGAGCACCAGCCCACTTCGGGGTGGGGGGTCCCTCTCCAACCTGAGTCGCCTCCTTGGAGAGGGAGTGTTGAAGGTGTTCTATTGGCTGTGATGTTTGGGGAGGAAAAGGCAGATTAATAATGTCATTATAAAATAGATTTACACTCTATTAATACTACCGTTTAAACAAGGGTCTTTTTCTGGGGAGGGGTCACGGCTGTTGCCTGGTGTCACGGCAGTGGGCTCCGAGGGCAGATCTGCTCCCCTGAGCGCGTCGCCCTCATCTTCCACTAGGAACGGGCTGGGAGGTGTCTCCTTACAAGAGCCTGTAATTCAGGGAACCAAAAAGAAACAAATCTGAAATGCGGAGTCCGACAAAGTACCTGGTTTGCCTACTTAAAGCTGCCTTTTCATTTTCTTTTACTCTGAGGAAGTTTAACGGAATAATAAAATCTGTAATCAGCTTTTCGCCGAGATGAGGATGGTGATTTTCTAAGTTACTAGACAAGCCAGCCTACCCGTAGAAGTGGGGGTCGCAAATCTCGGGGTGCCGGAGACAGTCGGGGTGTTGTCCTTGTCCCTGGTGGGTTCAGGTCTCACGGGGGTCACCCCCCCGCAGCACACCAACACTGGAGAGGTGCACAAGGAAGAGGGGGAACTCCCCGTCCTTCTCTGCTCTTTTTTGGGGAGTCCTCCTACTTCTTTTCTTCCGAGTGATTTCATGGTCACCTGGGGGGTGATCTGCCCTCGGGCCTTTGGCCTTGCAGACCTCGGTTCGTAGTGGGATACAAAGGTTCTGACCCATGGGGAAACAGAAACTTATGCGATTTGATGACTGTGACCCCTTTTTATAAGGCTTGAAAGTAGGACGTCTGATTTTGTTAATATAATCTTATATATTGTAATGTTTTCAGGTTCCCTCAAGACAAAGGACAAGTGGAGACGCGATAGTAAACCAAGCGACTGCTTTATTCTCCTATTGAAACCACACAAGTGTGGTAACTTGTTAACTACAAGCTATACAGGACACTAAAACTACTATAACACTATTTACATATGAAGGGTCAGCTGCTGGTCATTGTGCTGACCCTCAGACTCCCCCTGGCTACAACTCCCAGCCTGCTTTGTGGTACCATGAGTGCCTAGGTGCGCTTTCTCCTTACCACCGGGCGAAGGCGTTACACTGCCCCCACCTGAAGCATCTGGTGTCCTGCCGACGTCGAACACCCCCCTCAGGCTATACTCATACTCGGCTAAACTCTGTGTGAGCGACTGCTGCACAGCGGTGGCGGCTGGCGGCCCACAGACACCCCATTGTCGGCCGGCTCCTGCCTCGGCTGCTCCTCCGGAGCCTCCCTGCGGGGCTCCTCCTCCCGGACCCCGTAGGGTGCCAGGCGGTCTCAGTGCAGGACCACCACTCTCCCCCGTGTTCGCAACCGGACCCGGTAGCAGACCTCACCCACCACCCCGAGGACCTTCAGCGGGCCCCTCCCACGACGAAACTAGCTTAGGGCTGAGGCCTTTGCGGGGGCGTGGGCTGTACACCCAAACCAAGTCCCCGGGCTGGAAGGCAGGCCCCCTGCAGCACAGGTCGTAGTGTCAAGTGGGTCCGGGTAAAGCTGTGTACTCACCGCATCCGCTGCCGCAGGTCCCACTCGTAGTCTGGTCCAGCCAGCGGTGCCGACTTGTCTCCGGGCAGTGGGCCGAAGACCAGGTTTGCATCTCCCGGCCCAGCATGAGTGAGGCCGGGGTGGACTGGTAGATTCCTGGACCGCCGTCCGATACGCCCAGAGAGCAAGGGGGAGGTGGTTGTCCCAGTCCCACTGGTGCTGAGACACCAGGGTGGCCAGCTGGGTGGCAAGCGTCCGAT